ACACGTACAACCTTATTTTATCAATCGATTATTATTAACTGTTAGTAAATAAATTCTTATAGTTAATTATCAATCTTCACGTGTCACCCTTATTTCTGTCGATCGATTATTATTAGCTGTTAGTAAATAAATTCTTATTTATTAAATAGCCTAAATTAAATATTTATATATTTAATAAAATATACTTCGTCACAAATATTGCAATTAAATGTTATTAATAAATAATCTAAATAACTTTCTTTTTAAAGAAATCGAAGTATTTACAAAATTTTTTAATTGTCCCTGCATAATATGATCATTGTAATTGATAATCGTTGATTTGTTATATTTAGAGCGAAAATTTGATATTTCTTAAAAGTTATAAAAAGAGCATTAAAAATACCATCCTCAAGTGTCAATAAATCATATTTACTTTAATATATCAATTAAAAAGAACTCTAATATTTCTCTTTATCAAACATACAATGTCTTTTCCAATAACCCAAATATCTATAGTTAATTTAGATCAGGATAATCCTTACCATGATTTATGTAATGATGATCTTTTAAGTCAACAAACCCGAATAAATGCTAATGCTAACCATCCACGAGCACTTACTTTTGCATCTACTTTTTCAACTGAAGATCAACATCAAACTACTTCCAACTTTAATTCTTTTCCTCCCTAGCAACCTTCCCATTCTTTACTTTCACTCCATAATCGCTTTCAAACAGAAATTTTATATATGTTTCCGTGTGTTCCTTGTTCACATTGTTCGGTTCTTATGTTTCCTGTCCAAGCAAGATGGGTCTCACGCAATGTCAGTATGGAATACGACCTTTGTCGAGCTTTCCCCTATTTATCGCTTACTGAATATCCTAATAAAGAAAATTATATCGCTGTGTGTTCTTCTTGTATATCTATTGCTAAGCGTCACATCGCTCCAACGCTTGCTCAGATTCCAGACGCTCTAGCTAATGTTCCAATGTTTCATCGCCGGTGGCTTTCGCCTATTCATTTAAGTTGCTCTCTCGGGCGTGCTAAAAATGCTAATTATTTTACACACTATCGCCACCTTACTGGTGCATTTGGTCTCTCAAAAAACATTTGTGCCTTACAAATTTACTCCAGAATGTTAGGTGCAATATTAGATTCAGCACCTAGTGAAAATTGGTTTCATCCGTCTTTGCTACATGCAGCTAACTGGTTGAAAACCAATAATAGATTCTTTAAAGAATTTGATCGAATGTTTTCATCCGTTGTTTTTACACATCCCCCGAATGTTTTCCCAACTGCCCAGGTAATAAGCGAGGATGATATATTAACTAATGACACTCCGTTACGACATCATCCAGATATAATAATACCACCGTATGATTTTGACCCTGAAATTCACAATGAAGATTTTCATTATAGTAGACTGTTAGCGGGTTTCTTAAGAGATCCTAATAATATAGAATTACCAATTCCATATAATGATCCTAATTTAGAAGCTATACTTTTTCCTGATCTCTTTCCGGATAGACACGGCCATTGGGGTGAACTCTCTAAAGAGTTAAATAATCGGCATAACCATATTGATACGTATTCAAAATATATTAAACTTCGACTATTATGTCCAGATTCTCGATTCCGTCTCCACTGGTATTGGCCATATTGGTCTTATGTCAATTTAGAAAAGCTACGAAATCATCAAAACAGACAACGTATTTTACGTCAACGAAATATAAATCGCCAACAACTTCCAACTATTATAGATTTAATTAATCAAAGTGTTTACAATAATCACCCGATTATTAATGAAACATTAACCACTACACTCCCTTCTTTTATTCGAACTGGTGATATGTATTTTCGTCAATGACAGCATTCTGTAAACGCGATGGTTCAAAGTTTTGGTCTACCTCAAATTTTCTATACTATGACTATGGCTGAAGGGCTTTGGCCACACTTATTAAAAATTCTATCACATACTGATGACTATTGCACTTTACCATCAAATCGTCCTCTGCATACTTATTTCCATTACTATCAACGACTAAATTCCATTCGGAATTTACTATAGAAAAATCAAAATTTATCAGAATGGGGTAAATGGCTGCACCATTTTGAACGTGATGAATTTCAAAATCGCAGCAGTATACATACCCACGGAATAGCTTATCTCGATAGGTTAATTCCAAATTTAATAAATGACAATGTTATTCGTACAGACCTCCCTGATCCCCAAACCGAACCAGTTCTTTATGAACTGGTTCGTGCTCATCAAATTCATCGATGTTGCCCTAATAGATGTGGTGGACCACCTCTTCCCAGTGACCAATGCAGGAAAAAGTTTCCAGCACCACTATCAGATCATACTTATTATAACCCTACTTTATTATGTTATACTTATCATAGGACCAAAGAAGCTGATCGTTGGGTTGTTCCCTATTATGCACCTACTTTATTATTGTGGCAAGGGCATTGCAATTTTCAATATGTCTCCTCTAAATCTTTCGCAAAATACATGACTAAATATATTACCAAACCGGAAACTTCTGACCTATTTAAGCTATCTGAACACGACACCTATCGTTCTCATATCTTAGCCAGGCGCCTCGGCGCGATGGAATTAATGATTCTCTTGATTGGATATTCTATTTGTCATTCCACTATTGCTACAGAATATTTACCAACCACACCACCCAGTATCCGATCAAAGTGCGTAAAGCCAATTCACCTATTAAACGATGAAAATACCAATCCATACTGGGCTGACGCTATTGACAA